AACACCTCAACCTGTGCGACATCGTCAACATCAGGTTGGTTTGCTAATCTCCAACATTCTGCTTCCACTTTTGCGTGGATCAAGGTATCTTGCGGGGAAATTTCTTTCCCGTTGAAGATTTTCTCGTTCCTTGCCTTCCAAATAAACCATAGGATCCAAGGATACACATCCTTTTGGGGATCTGACATGCCTATCTCTTTTGTTTTCCAAAAGAGAAAGCTCATATTTTGATAAATAAAAGTACTCGGAAAGAGACCCGGAAGGGACGGAAAGTCCGATAACGCCCAGACTTGTAAGGCCGGGGGACATAAAAACAGTAGATGGTTTATGGTTTCCTCAGGATCCCCACAGCCGGGGCAGCGTTTGTCGGAACCCATATGACGGTAAGTGAGATTCTGGCATGTCGCAACACACCCTGATAAAGATTGCCACATAAAGTGTTTCATCTTTCCAGGTGTACGAACTTTCCAAACATGTCGTTGTAAGGCCGTGATGCTTGGTTCCCTAAACGCTCCAGCTTCTCGTTCAATCTTTGTTCCTCTAATTAGATCATATCCCGACTTAACTGTATAAAGTCCCGATTTAGAGTGATTCCATGCATATCCATCTAAGTTACGAATACAACTAGGTCTCAACCCGAGGATAAGGGAAACATCCTCAGGATGGAATTCTCTAAGCAAGGGAGTGTCCCATTGCTTGGTATCTTGGCGAATGAAAGAGTATACCAGAATTCCTGGGTCTCGGAATCCGATCTGCGGGGCAGTTCTAGGCGGCCGAGCTCTAAGATCAGGAATCCATGGTTCGCTCCAAACTCTCGTATTTAGGCCCGATCCAATCGTCTTCCTCAATCCCATCTTTAGAAATGGTTTTGCGGCCATTATACTCTGTCACCCATAGGATGGTGAGTAGACGTTCCGGTCTTCAAGAGGATCAGATCGTCTGAAGTATCTGCCTCTTAAGACCCGGGCCAAGAGGGATGAGGGGTATTGGATCAGCCGCCATAGCTGCTTAGCTAGAAGGGCTAGGTTGAAGTCTTGTAAGTCTCGAAATCCGAGGCCTCCCATATCTTGGGGGACGCAAATCTTATCCCAAGCAATCCAGTGTATCCCGCTACTATTCTGCTTTGAACTCCACCAGAAGTTTGCAATGGCACTCTGCAGTTTGTCCGTCACTCCTTGGGGCAATAGAAAACATGACATGACGTACGTAGGAACGGCTTGTGCAACGGATTTTATTTGAATTTCTTTTCCACCTTTGGAAAGAAGTCTTGCAGACCAATTATTGACCCGGTTGCTCAGACGATCCTGAACATAAGAGAAGACTTTCTTCTTAGATCCACAGATTTGCTCTGGGAGACCCAGATACATCCCCATACCACCCTCTGATGATATTCCTACGGCATTCTTGATACCTTGCTTTAAATGCGGGTCCACCCTATTCCCGAACATGATGGATGATTTGCCCAAATTAAGTTGTTGTCCCGAAGCCGATCCATATGTATTAATAATCCTGAAAATCTCGGCACCTTGCTGGATTTCTGCTCTACAGAAGAAAAGACTATCATCGGCAAAGAGAAGATGTGAAACTGGTGGACTCGCTTGGGCTACCTTCAGCCCAGAAATACGGTTTTCCTCCTCTGCTCCATTGAGTAGCGAGATAAGAGCCTCAGTACACATGATAAAAAGAAAGGGAGAGAGAGGATCTCCTTGCCGCAGTCCTCTTGATGGGATGATCTTTCCTTTTGGTTCTCCATTTATAAGGACTTGGTATGAGACCGAGGAGATACAGAACATCAAGAGTCTGACCCATATCTCAGAAAATCCTAGCTTGGTCATTAGGGCTTCGAGGAAACTCCATTCAATCCGATCATAAGCTTTGCTCATGTCTGTCTTGATGGCCATGAAACAGTGTTGGTGCGGAGGGCATGAAAATTTTCTTGTGCCAACAGAATGTTGTCTGTAATAAGACGTCTAGCCATGAAGGCCGATTGAGTTTCCGAAATTAGATTTGGCAATGTCTTCTTTAGTCTTTTACACAGAAGCTTAGAAATAATTTTATAGCTTACGTTGCACAGGCTAATCGGACGGAGTTCCGTCATTGCTCTGGGTTTTTCTTTTTTGGGGATAAGACATATGTTAGTCTGATTAAGTCTAGGATCAAAGGATCCTGAAGCAAAAAAATCTTTGACCAATTTAACTATATCATGGCGGAAATCTTGCCAGAATTTTTGGTAGAATTTACTCGTCATCCCATCAGGTCCGGGGGCTTTGTCCGGGTTAATATCAAAAAGGGATTCCTTAATCTCTGCTTCCGAAGGATCCATTAGCAGGAGCTGATTAGAGGTATTTGTGACTTTCTCGGTAATAAACCGGAGTGCATTTTCTGGATCTGTAGGCTGTGACGAAGTGAAAAGGTCTTGAAAGTATTTGGAAGCCACCCGTTCAATACCCTTCGCATTCTCCACCAAATTCCCATTATCATCTTTTAAGGAAATGATGCGGTTCCGGCTTCTCCTTTGTTTGGTAAGGGCATGAAAAAATTTGGTGTTCACCATCCTTATGCCATCGCTCCCGACTCTTTTGTTGCCAATAGATTTCTTCCTCTCGAAGCGCTGAGCAGAGTTTCCTCCTAATCTCTTATATTTCTTCTGTCGAGGTATTCACATCATCTTGTGCAACATCTAGTTGAATCTTTAAGTCTTCAATTATTTTTTCCGAATTAGTGGGAAGAGATTTCTTCCAAATGGAGATACTCTTTCGACAGTTTGCAATTTTTTGATGGAAATCTCGACGAGAGATTCCATCAAAAGTGCCCCATCCAGAGATTACTGCCTCTTTGAAACCCGGCTTTCCCAGCCATCTTTTATCAAACCTAAAAGATTTTTTCCTCCGTTGGTTATCCACTCGTACCATAGCTAGAACTGGTTGGTGGTCCGAGCCCCATAGTTGCAAATACTCCACAGAAGTGTGGGAAAATTTGGATTGCCATTCTTCATTTCCAAGGGCCCTATCTAAACGGCATTTAACTTTACCCGAACGTCCTCTTCCAACCCATGAGAATGAGTTTCCCTTATACGGGAATTCTAGCATGCCACAATTATCCAACATAGTTCGAAAGGGGATAAATGAGTATTCCGATCTCCTACGCCCTCCTCGTTTTTCATGATTTCCGGTAATATCATTAAAGTCTCCTATCATAAACCATGCCTCTTTTCTAGAGAGACTCATCCGGGTGAGACGCTCCCAGACATTTTCTCGGTTTTTTATAACCGGATCTCCGTAGACGAAAGTCATAAAGATTTTATGTCCGTCTAGAGTAGTTTCTACATCAATCAAGTGCTTATCCGAATATGAAATAGAAACCGTAGGTTCATCCATATAAAAAAGAGCGAGACCACCGCTTCGACCTCTCGGTTCAACGGTACAAACATGGTCATAGCCAAAATACACTTGCATATCTTGCAGAAAATATCGATTGTTCTTTGTTTCTGATAAAAATAAAAAGCGAGGTTGAAAACAATAGTGAAGTTCTTCTAGGTGTTCTTTTGTCAGGTCGGCTCCCGCACCTTGACAGTTCCAACCAATTACATTCATTTTGGATGGTTTGTTGGCTTGGGCTCCACGAAAATCAGAGATTGTTATTTTGGGCTTTGGAAGTTTTTTCTTTTGGGCCTATCATTTTGTTTCTTACTTGGGCTTGGCCCAGATTTTTCCTTTTCCTTACTTTTTCCTTTTTGGGCGACACACAGCGCCACGCAAACCCTTTTTCTTTTTTTTTTCCGACCGATGAAACGGATCTGCCGTCGTCGTCTGAAAAATGGTGACTTTTGAAGATCTGGCGTTTTAGGAGCTATCCAGAACCATGTCGTCGATTGTGAACCTAACAAACCTTTGGGTTGATGACATTATTGGAGGAATTAGACAGAAATCTCAAAAACTTCCCGGGGTAAGTAATTAGGAGATTACGAAGCAGGTAGATTCTTAGCACAAGGCTAGATACAGGAAAAAAACTGGCTTCTTTCGGAAGGAGATTCAGTTCCTCAGAAGGCGAGGCTTGATCCTGAGATGAGCATCGCCGGTTAGAACCTGAGGAAGAAGACAGATCTGAGGGGAGGAGCAAGGAGACAGCAATCTCTACGGGAGCAAGGTTTCTGCCTTTCAGATCTGTCAGAATTCAGATCCAGATCTTCAAAGGAAGGAGGAGCAACAGATATCGCTGGGGCTGTCAGTTCGATACTGTCATGGAGGGGGAGCAGATGATGGGGAAGGCGAGCTAAGAAAAGGATCTTAGAGATCCAATATTTAATCCGTCGGAGAAGGCCAGAGAACGCCGCCGTCCGGATTCATTGTCGCTATTGTTAAACTTCACAAAAAAGCTTCCCAAATGGGAGAGGTCTTCAGGCTTGTTCGGTGAGGATCTTCCCATCTTGGCCGGAGGAGCTGATAATTTGCATCTGAAGGTGATGGCCGGAGAAGGAGATCCCAGGCACCGGAGCTGATACATATTCTATATTCGAATTCGCCTCTTTGGGAAAAAATTAAGTGGAGAATTCTAATCGGAGTTTTTACTTTTTTTTTCTTTTTTTTTTTGTTCAAACAACCGAAGTTGTAAACTTTCGAAACTTTTCAGATGAAATTTTTTTTTTTTTTTGAAAGTTTTAACCTTTTCGTTACATTGTTAGAAGTGTACAAGTCAACTAGTGCAAGAAGTTGATCTGCTGATAAATTATATCTAGTTAATGTAAAATATAAATAAGTGTTAAAATAGCAGAAAAAGTGATATTTTATGTAATAAAACGAAATAAAATGATATTTTGTATAATAGAACGAAATAAAGTGATATAAATTGTAAACAACTCTTTTAACAAACTTAAAAGTCGCATATTTACTGTGAAGTCTTAAGAACTACGAAAATTTCATAATCAATAGATTTTTTGTTTCGGTGGCATCCCCTAATATGATTGATATTTTATTTCTGCAATTATTAACAAATATCTTCATCCTCTGTCACCACATTTGATTGATTCAAAAGTCTCCAAACCCCTTGGAAGCTTAATATTACAAGCCCTTTCTCTACAAATTCCCCCAAACCAGACTTTTCCACAGAGAGATACGCAGAAACATTCTCATCAAAGTTTTCTTTCCTATACACTCAGATCAAGAACAAATCTTTCGATCATTAATCATTGATGGTAGATTCAATTGGATTTTACTGGGCAATTGCTTTTCTTGTATTATCTCTCTCTTTGATTGATTGATTTGGTTAATTCTGTTTCTCCGTACAGTTTCGAGATCGTTATAAGTTTGAGTTCTATAAGTTTGGGTAATCTCAGCCTCGCGCTAAACGTGAGACACTCTTTGTTCCCTAATCTTTTCCTGCGTTTTCTCGAATCTCTCTGAAACGGTTAAGATAAAGAGAAAATCCCAAATTTTCGATGTTCACTTTACTATATAATTCCGTTCTTCTTTTTCCTTTTTTTGTATAAAGTGCAGCTAACTTTCCTTGCCTGAGGATTGACTGGTTGGTTCAATCTCAGATTCGCCGCTTACAGCGTTTGGCAAGAGCCATTAGCATCTCTTGAGGGCGCATTGATTCGAATAAATGTCTGAATGGCGTTTCAGAATAGTGTGCAATAGTCTGTAACTCGCTGCGTTTTGGCTGCATAGAAGTTCCTCTGTGGAGTTTGTTTGATACATTTGTAGGTTTCATGTTTCAGAAGCTGATCTTGTCGGAGTTTAGAGCTGTTTAATTGGATTCGGTGATGGCGAGTAATGTAGTTAACCATCCATTGCAAGACTTAGACGACGTGATCAGGTCTCATAAGGATGATGATAAGGAGTTTTCTGATGAAGATAATGGTGTAAATAACGTGAAAGCGAATTTATTGGAAACATCTGGCTCTGTAGAGTCTGCTCCTGAAGGTTCTGGTCGTTCTTCCGAATGGCGTCGGGGTTAGTCTCTATTTAACATTATGTTATTCCACTTTCTGAACTAAATGTTGTCATATCTGCATGATTCAATCTTTGCCACCAAAAACCACAACTATAGGGGTATAGCTAAACTTTTGTCTGTTTTACTTTTTTACATTATGTTCCCAGTATAGAACGAAAGACAATGATTGTTTTCGTTTGATTCTGAAATAGAGCATAACAACTGATCAAGATTTTTTGTTCTTGAAGGATTAGACCACTGCATTACTGCACCCGTTGGTCTCTATGGAGATATGCTAGTTGATGGTAATGAGATCCAGTACTCTCGGTCCTTGACAGAGAAAGGGTCTCCGGCGAGTCATAATTCAAAATTGGATAGACTATCGGAGCGGGAAAAGGTAGGAAAACTAAACCCTCATGTCTTTAGATCTCTCTATGGCAATGGAGCTCGGCTCTTTGCTATCGGATATTACATCCTCTTCCAAAATGCCTCATCATCGTATTGATCTTGGATTTTATCAAGTGAAGATTCTCTTTTTGTGCTATAAGAATCACTAGGATATGTTTCTCTGTTGATTACACTTTTTGGTACATTGAAGAGATCGTTTAATTCTCATGAATCTCATGGTTATTTTTTTGTAATATCTTGTGAATCCAGCAAAAACTCATTGTTGAGCTAGTCAGAATACAAAACGACGGGACAGTGGAAGTTGATATAGATAAAGGTACACCAGTATCGGAGTTATTGGTGTTTCAGCCAACCAAAGGGCAGCCCCCGATCGCATATGAAAAGTCATATGTTGATTCCTTCAGAGCCATTCCAAGGTTAAAAATTGTGATACTTGTGGTTGGAACTCGAGGTGATGTTCAGCCTTTTTTAGCCATGGCAAAGCGCCTCCAGGTAATCTTAAAATAGTCCTCATTCCTAGAATCATATCGTGAACTTAAGAACTAAGCTTTGTGACCACATATATTTACTTTATGTCATGTCTTCTTGTCTGTTTAATTTGGTTTGATTTCTTCATCCATTCCTCGGATATGTTGTTGACTAATTGACCCTAGAGCTAGGATCTATGGTCATTGGCATTGAGAAAGGTTAAAGTTATATACTGTTTTTCCTCGTTGCAGGAATTTGGGCATCGTGTTAGGTTGGCAACTCATGCAAATTTCTGCTCCTTTGTACGGTCTGCTGGAGTGGAGTTCTACCCCTTGGGTGGTGATCCCCGGGAATTAGCTGGATGTAAGAAGTCCTCCATGAAAAGATTCATTTATATTTCCTGATGAAAGTCTAATGGATACACAGATAAGCTGTCAGATATTTTCGAGTCAGCTTCCTGTCAATATTTTATTCAATCATAGTTACCGGTATTTTCGAGTGTAGATATGGCTAGAAATAAAGGTCTCATTCCTTCTGGCCCTGGAGAAATAGCAAAGCAGAGAAAACAGTTGAAGGCAATTATAGAGTCTCTTCTTCCGGCATGCACAGAGCCTGATATGCAAACTGCTGCCTCTTTCAGAGCGCAAGCAATAATTGCAAATCCTCCTGCATATGGTAAAATCCCTCACCAAATTCAAAACTTTTTTGATTATTGTTTAAAGACTTTTCTTTAGCATATATACTTGTTTGTTTTCATTGTTCCTATGAAGCTAATGATATTGTTTTGGCTCTAATTGCAGGACATGTGCATGTTGCTGAAGCTCTTGGAGTACCAATTCACATTTTTTTCACAATGCCTTGGACGTGAGTTGACTTCTTTGCTTTTTAATCTCAAGCTCGATGCACCAGCCTTAACGTGTTATATGGTATCGTGTTTTCTTACATCCTCTTCCTGTAGGCAGGCCAACCCATGAATTTCCCCACCCTTTGGCGCGTGTTCCTCAGAGTGCTGCGTATTGGGTAATGTTATTTTTCAATGCAGCCTTAACTGGGTCTTTCTTATGAGTCTTTCTTCTGACTATCCATCCTCGAGATATGATTTAAGGATTGAGGCTGATTATTTCACAACATTGTACTTGTCTCAGCTATCATATATAGTTGTTGATCTGATGGTATGGTGGAGCATAAGGACATATATAAATGATTTTAGAAAGAGGAAGCTAAACCTTGCACCTATCGCATATTTCAGCACATACCATGGCTCAATTTCTCACTTGCCTACTGCTTACATGTGGAGTCCCCATGTTGTGCCAAAACCAAATGGTAAGAACACAGCTGCATCCTCAATTCATATATAGCCCATAGGTTTATCATATGTTTCCTTGTTTCCTATTTCCAATCAAGCTTCATTCTGGTCTCAAGGCTCGTGTTTTCACTTTGTCTAGGGCAAGAGTATTCAATCTTTGGACGTGTACTATTTTTTTAGTCTGTATATTTTCTTTGATTGATATCTGACAAATTACGCATTTGTTTGACTAATTTGCAGACTGGGGTCCTTTAGTTGATGTTGTTGGGTATTGTTTCATGAACCTTGGATCGAAGTACCAACCCCGTGAAGAATTTATCCACTGGATAGAAAGGGGATCACGGCCCATATATATTGGTTTTGGAAGCATGGTAAGCCGAAGACCCTTAATAGTCAGAAAATGTGTTCCTCTCTATGTTACTATTCAGTGATAATGGATAATACTGACAATGGATCTTGATAAGAAATAAGCATCAACTTTAAATCTTAGACTTTTATGAATCTAATTTCAGCATGAAATATTTATACCAACTTAAACGGCATCACACCAGTTATTCTTTGTCAAACTGATGATAATCTATCTAATGCATAGCTTTGTTGTTTCTTCTCTTTTACACAACCAGCCTCTTGACGATCCGAAAAAAACAATGGACATTATACTGGAAACTCTGAGAGATACAGAACAAAGAGGGATAGTTGATCGAGGTTGGGGTGGCCTTGGAAACCGTAAGCAGATTCTGTACCTTCTGTTTTTATTCTCTATGTCCTGAACTGGTTTCATATTTGCTTATACGGTTTCAGAATACATTTCCTTCTTCTAACATCTTGGAGTTGCTGAAGTTCCTGAAAATGTATTCCTCTTGGAAGACTGTCCTCACGATTGATTGATTCCTCAATGTTCAGCTGTGGTAAGCTTTTTTTTTAGATACCTAATGTATTACTACATTAATGTCTCTGAAGACATTATGTTCTAATTGAGGCATGTTTCTTGTGTTGTGTATATGAAGATTCATCATGGGGGTGCTGGAACAACAGCGACTGGACTAAAAGCTGGGGTAAAACGTTTTAACTTTTCATCTTTCAGCAAAGTGTCCTGTGGTGGATGCATTAGCAGTTTTCTTGACCACATGAAGCCTAATGGTTCCTATATTCACTTGAATTCCTTTTCTTGTCTGCAGTGTCCAACAACAATCGTGCCCTTCTTTGGTGATCAATTCTTCTGGGGTGAGAGGATCTATGAGAAAGGACTTGGGCCTACGCCAATACCGATAGCTCAGCTCAATGTCGAGAACCTATCCAATTCTATAAGATTCATGCTTCAGCCAGAGGTACACAATCTTTATTTCCCCTTTTTCATATATCTTCCATGTCTAGCTACGATATTACAGGAAAGAATGGCAATAGAAGCTACGCCTAAACGCTCTATTTATTACAAAATCAAATGAACCATGGTCAACCCAAAATGTAAAGCTTAGAGCTGATCAGCCCATAAACAAAGCTCAAACGCTTTTCCCTCTGTTGGAAACATACAAAACCTCCAAAACTTTCCTTAGCTTTGATTTGTCTCACAAGCGAGATCTCATCCTTATTTATACTAATATATATATAAAAGTAAAACACCCTCTAAATCAAGAAATGGAAAGAATATGTATCACAGGAAATGAACCGTGGTCTTTCAGGTGAAATCACGAGTGATGGAACTAGCAAAAGTACTAGAGAACGAGGATGGTGTAGCTGCAGCAGTTGATGTATTCCACAGGCATTTACCACCGGAGCTGCCATTGCCTGAGTCCTTGCCAGAGAAAAAGGACGAAGATGATCGACCAGACTTGTTACAGTGGTTCTTCATTCAGATTGGCAAAAAGTGTTGCCTTCCATGTGGTGGCGTGTGATATCAAACTTCCTTAGATGTTTTTACTTCCATAATCTTGTCTCTTCAAATCAATTCATTTCATTTAATTGTCAGGAATATGATTAGATTTTTTCGCAGTTACATAAAATAGATATAATAAAATTATTGGGATGGGTTTGGGCACCTTATAAATTTGTTGTTCAATGAGAATATAAGATAATGTGTGAGTTTGGAATCTGAAGTGTACGTTTAGTATTACTTTTCAGTTCATTTGATTTTGATCCGTTTCTTTTGTAGGTAGCTGAATAGTCACAACGTTGTATTGAAGAAAATATTTTAGCTCTAAACTAGAATAATCATAAAAAGAAAAAAAAAATGAAAAAAAAAAAAAATCATAGGTTTGTGTTAGATTGACAACGTTTTATTTTTCTTTTAATCTTAAACTAAGTGATAATTTGTCTTGCGCCGGTATACATCGGTCTTATGCTTACATTTGTTGCAAAATCATTGGATCACCAAATTGCGACCATTTAAGATCAGAAGTGGGATGGCTAATTCTTGATCCACCACACCCAGATGCGTCATTCATGATCTATTGATTTAAGTTGGAGATTCTTTGATGCCAGTCGATTTTCATGAGTGGAATATCAAAGACAAGGAAACTGTCTCTCTCATTCCTGGAAGAGGATTCTTTAACTACATCATCAACAATCATGGACTGCCCCAACCAAAGAATGTGTTTTTGCCAATACCAACAAAGGACGTATTGTACAAGCCTAGTTTGTATCATCAGTTGTTCCAAGATATCTCTCTATATCTTTCTAGAAACAAACTTAAAAACCTAGATTAACCACCAAATGGAAGAGAAGCAAAGTCAGGAGAGTCGAGAGATACTTGTTCTCCAACAATTTCTTCATCACAACTCACAAGGCAACAAAGTTAACTAAATACTTTAACCAAACATTGTATTGGAGGTAACTATCTATATTTCTTTTGAGTCTAGTTTATTCTACTTATCTTTTTATCTTTTTAGGATCAAATGAAGAGATATGAAGGCAACAAACAAACAAATGAAAACCGATATACAAAGATGATCAAAAGATGGAGTTGTCACTAGTCGAGCACTAGATCGGCCACTTCACTTTCTTTGCCAAGGGATTGACATTCCTCTGTTTAAGCGACTTTCAAGTCTTTAACACACCATCCACCTTCCCAGTTTTTTTTTTATTACTTAAATCTGATTGTTTGGAGAGGGGCCCATGGTATGGTTTCTAATTGGGCTTAGGAAAAAGGAACCTGTTGCTAAGTGGAAATTGAAATCAGGTTTGAGGCTTATATATACAAAAGTGTTTGGGGTTTATATAATATAAAGGAGAATTAGTTTTATAATGTTAATTGAATTAGCTATTGTCCCCTTAATTACCCTTTTAAATCAGTTATGAAAATAATAATTAAAATTAAATTTGAAACTATTGTTTAGAAAAATCTAAAATTCTAAAACTGGAAATAAAAATATTTCCGGATATCATTTAAAGAAACATAATATTTAATAAAAAAAATTAAAATTTGTTCTACGCATAGTAGAACGTTTGTTCTATGTTTTACATCTACGTAAAATCTCATTTCTCTAGTTCTTTATATTTTTTATCAACCAGTAGAATTCATTTTCTATAGTTCTTTTTATATTTTACGTTATGGTAGATTACAAGTTCTACCGGATAGATTATATTCTACGTGTTAGTAGAATATAACTTCTACTGAATAGAAAAGGTTATACGTTATTGTAGAACATTAATTCTACTTATTAGACCAAGTTCTACGTTACTGTAGAACATTTCTTCTACATATGGATTTCATTATACATGTTGGTAGAATATAACTTCTACCAAAATCTGAAAAAATTTAGGAAAATTAGTTAATTTCCAGATTTATATATTTTTGAAAATCTTTTTTTTCTCACGTTTTCTTCTATGTTTTTGACGTTTTTATTTCTTTTTTTGGACTTCATCGTTTTCTTCATCATCTTCCCATTGATAAAGGAGATTTTCTCTAGGTTTACGTATTTTCTGCTTCAAACATGCTATATATCTATGTCACTTGTGGTTTCTGGAAATTAAGGACAAATAAAAAGTGGATTTTTGTGGCTGATGAACAAAAACGAGCTAGGTTTGTTGCTGTTGAACCAACAAAATCCCCAAATCAATTGAGTATTTATAAATCCTAAACTCGAAAGTGAATGATAATAACAAAAGAAATAACGAACGAAGAAGATCGGTGGAGGAGAAAGAGGAGCGAAAAACGTTTTAGTTTATTGAAAATTGATTTTCCGGTGATTTTATTGCAGAAGAAATAGCAGTCCAGCGAAGACTGCCGATGGAGGAAAAATTGATTGTGTCGATGGGAACTATGTAGAATCTTTTTTCTACTGACTTTTTTAATTATAAAACATTATTATATATAATAATTTAACTAATTGAATAATCAAAATTAATGGGCATAATTGGAATAAATTTCAATAAAACATTATAAGGACAAATTTTTAAAAAAAAAATATTAGGGGGACAATTCCTAAATCAATTAGCATTACAAAACTAATTCTTCCTAAATATAAACATTTTGATATTAATGTCCACACCAAAATGTTTTGGCACACCTATCTACCTAATTTCGTTACTTTTTATCATTTTTTCTCTCTTCTTTTTTACATTACTAGATGGTTGCCCACACAATGCATGGGTTGTTTACTGAGTGGTCGTTTGTTATTTAGTTAGATATATATTTCTTCAACGCAATAAAAACTTATATTCATATAGAAAAAGACTAATAAAGAAGTGTTAGTGAATAACAAATTGTTTATAGATGTTACTAATAATATACTGAAACAATAATGATGAAATCTAATTCCGTATGTGATAACAAGAGTTTTTCAGGCTCTTTGGGTATTAATCCCCTTTGTCTGTTGTAACATAAAGGATTATCAATCCAGGGTGTGGTATTTACAGAATTGCAATTAAACAAGATTAAAAATTTAAACAGAGCAATAAACAAAAAAACAGCAAATGATTACGATGATATGAATATTCCAGACATGGTAGATGGCTAGGGTGCATCAGGGTTTAACTAGGGCGCTAGTAACAATGATGATGAATGATCTAATCAGCTCAGGATATCAAACAAGTCTTAATCTTTTCCAAGCATTAAAATACTAAACCAAACATTGCTCATACCTAATCATCATTAGAGACACAATGAAAATAATGTATTATAAAACAGTCTCAATATACCATCTATGCTCAAAACAACATTTTCACGTGAATCAAACAATAGACTCTTGACTTAGCTGGTTCAGGCGTTTCATCAAACACCTTTTGAGTGAATGAAATGCCAATGATCTGGGTTAGAGAGATCATCTAAAATCCAAAGATCAGCTTAAGCAAGAAGAAGATGCATAAATCTAGCCCTAAGCAACCTTAATCATACTCTTAAGCACTCTAACCTATATATCTAGAACCATAATGAGGTGAGTACTCACTAATCATATTTAACTCTCTATTTCTTTTGCAAGAAGAGAAGTTAAACATGATTAGTTGATGAAGAAATGTGGAAGATGGATTGATGACTAAACACTCAAGAACTCTTTTGGATTAAGCAAAGAAAGGAGATTTCTCTCACAAAGGTAAGTCTTAACACAAAAGAGGCAAAAATCTTAAGAGAATAAAGGATGATCCAAAGGGTAAAACCCTAAAATGTTTTTATAGTGATTCCCTAAGTTCAGGGTCAACTCGGGACAAACCAGGTGTTGACTCAGGGAAAACACAATAAAAAAACACTGACACAAAGACTCCGGGCATCATATGGCCGATGCTTTGGCCGGTGTGAATGTGTCATGAAATTGTCCTGAAAGTGTAAGCTGACTCCGGGGTTCATATGACCGATGTCCAAGCCGGAGTGAAGAAACAAGTTTCAGCGATGGAAAATGCACCGAGCACCATTTGGCCGATGTTGTGCCCAGTGTAAAGTGCGATGAAGTTTGCACCAGAGAACACATCTTCATAAGGTTGCTCGGTGTGGAGAAGAGTCTTGAACCGCAGAAAATTGCACCGGAGTGCTTTTGGGCGATGTTCATCCCGGTGTAAAAAGCGTTGTGAATTACACCGGGCATAGCATTGGGATAAACTTAGTCGGTGTGGATCTGAAGTAGATTGGTATAAGGTTTGGCTTACTCCGACCACAATCTTCCCAGTGCTCATCTTGGTGTAGACAAGGACCTCTTCGCACTTACATCTCCATAACTTATTTATGTTCAGTGATCCGGAACTCAATTTTCCAGCTCCAGGATAAAATCCACTCAAGCAGCTCCAACTTTGATGAAGGGACCATATGCATTCGGAGAGAGCAAGGCTTCCGTCTCACCGGTTCCTTGAGCCGCATCACGTCTTGATCGGCCGCGATACATTCCATCTGCGATATGTCTACCTCACAACTCCAAATCGTCTGATTCCAAGTGTTCTGGAAACTAAACTCAACCCTCTTGATTTTTGATGAAGACACTGTAGGCTGAATTGCAGTGAAGGTCCTCCGTCTCAGGTGATCTTGTAGAGGTAATGTAAGCTCCAAAGCACTTGTCCATCTTTAAGCTCAATGGTGAGGGGTTCCTCCATAGTCTCAGCTCCAGTCTGCTCCCAAATGACTCCAAATAACCTGAGAACACTCCAAAAATGCAGGACTCCCATGGAGCTAATTCAAAGTCCTAAAACTCTAAAACAAAGACAAAACATAAATAATCTATCTAAAATGCATGCATGAGACTCTATTCTTGGACCAAAAATGCATCATAAACATGCAATTATATGAATATATCGATTCTCCCCACTTATCCTTTGCTTGCCCTAAAGCAAACTAGAACAAAAACAGAGAGAGGTTTGGAGTTTGGGAGTTCACATTTCTTTAAAGAGAGAGAGTTGATCATCAAAAGAATTCAAGCTCATGGTCCTAGTTACTAGTTCTGAAATGCAATGCAAGGAATACTCTAAATGCAGCAAGTTCAAGCCCTGATCTACACAAACATTCTTATCCCTCAGCCTTTTAACATTTATTAAGTTTTAAACCATGTGGATCAAGTGATGCATACCCAAATGAACAAGCTTGGCTAAGGATAAGGTTATGAGATAAAAATGATCTCATTCAATGTATATGTGTGTTCAGTTCAGCACAAGGGATATCTCTATGAAGGAATGAACTTCAACAAAATGCTAAGAGTAAAAAGAAACTGATGCATACAAG